TCCAGATATTTGCATTCCAAATGAGATTTGAGTCAGACTTACGATTTCGGATATGGTTTAGATCTATATGCGTCTCTCCCATCTTTTATGAGAATATACACTTTTTAATCATCTACTAGTATTGATTTCTCATAGTTTTATCTTATATGTGTTGCTGCTAACTGAAAATTAATTTTAGGTTTAACTTTAAACATGAAACGAAATTTTATTAACTTTATGTAAGAAAAAGCTTGGTTATAATCAACGTCGAGTTTACCCAGTGATAAAGGAAGTGCTAGTAACCTTCTTTCTGATCGAATTCGATCCGTGTATGAAGAATTATTTATATTGTTTAAATTTTCAGTAAAAAGGTGTTTTTAGGAAAAAAAAAGTTTGGTTGTATAGGCTTCGACCTTGCTAATGGTTATATAATTATGATAATCTCGACATGACCTAGTATTTTGCGGTTTAATTTGTAGTAAACGGAATAAAAATATCTAAATATCTCTATAATATTATTTGAGAAGTCACTTTCTTAGGTGTCGTGCTCACATTAAATCTCACGCTCGTTGATTACAATGATACCCCTAATGAATTAAAAATATATTTAAATATTATTATTTCCTTTTTAAAATCTTTCAAATAACAATATAAAATAAAAATGAAATATTTATAAAATTTACAAAACTATTTAAAACGAAAAATAAGTATATATATAATATGGTTTCATAAAAAAATGAAGGTTTACAAAATAGTAATATTTAACTTAAATATATTTTAAAATAACATAAATTATACTTTTAAGTAATAAAATACTTTATATCTATATCTTCTTAGATGAAAACAAATATTTGTATATAATGTGTTTTCATTAAAAAAGTTCATACAAATAATCTTGATATTAGAAAAGAAATATTTTTCTTAAAAAATAATTAAAACAATAAAATCTATATTTTCAAATTAATTATTTTTGATATATCTATCTATTTTATTAGATGATTACATAAAATAATTAAGTAACATAAACTGATATATGTTTAATTGACAAAAAAATTATAATTAGTATTATTGAAATATTTTTTTAGTATATTTATTTGATTATAATATCTTACAATTACAGCAAAAAAATATAAATTATATTTTACTTATATAATATAATTTCTCAAAAAAAAATCACATTTTTACTGCATATTTTAATAGATGTTAAAAACAAAACTAAAAATAAATTTAATAATAAATATCTTTTGATCAAATAACTACAATTCTTTTAATATATCATAACACTATAATTTAACAAGGTAGATATATTATAATTAATAGTTAAAATTATCTATTTTCTTAATAACTCTTTTGATGTTTAATTTCTGCTTTTATGTTTGTGGAATTTAATATAACCATAATCTAATACTTAAAGCAAATCAGAATTCCTTATTTTTAAAATTATTTAAAAAAAAATTCAGTTTATCATCCAATCAATCTATGGCATAAATTATTTAGAATTTATAAAATATTTTAATTATTGTAAATATTGATATGTGTTCATAAGCTTTCAAAATTTTATTATTACTTATGTAATTTAGAATCAGACACTTTAGTTTTTATTTTTTTCGTTCTAAGCACAAAAAATCTTAAAATACATAATCTTACTAAGATATACTTATATTTTGTAGATAACAACGAACATAAATGTAAATAAAATAATTAATCAAAAATTTAAGATATTTAGAATAAAAAGATTATAGTTGAATTCATAAAAATAGAAAGAATCCAATATATATATATATCCAAATGATAAATCTGACTAAATATAATATATATATAAAATTATAATAACTAAAAGAATATAATATTATTAATACAAATTATACATACAAACTATAAATTAATATAAAATTTAAAATAAATATCAATCAACTATTATAATATATTTATTTCTTAAATATTTAAGCTCGTGCACGAGCACGGAAAATCACCTAGTTATGATGTATTCTTGATAAAGTATACTTCTGTGTGGACTGATCACAAGCGAATTTGATTTTTTAAAAATTTCAAATTTGACCGCTCTCCTTCGAAGGTTGGCCGACGAGCTACATGCAATACGTATAATGACATAGTGTTATTGCTTTATTACTTTGAGATTCCATCACAAACTCAATTACCAAATATAAATAAAAGTAGAGTCTAAGCTAAACAAGAAACAAAAGGAACCAGCAGTTTTTGCATACATGAGCCGATATTTAGAACGCCGGAACGATTCTTTACAGTGGATACCATTATTAGATAGCTAAGTTGGTGTATAAACTAAAGCTTGATCCTTCCAACGGCTAACGTGATTTTGATATCTATGTTTCTCATATGTTCCACGACAGATATTATAGTGGGAGATATTTTGTAGAAAAGCTTATATAAAGTTGTGGAATGTATTACAAGTCGAATAGTTCTTGGATTGTATTTTGATAGCAACCAATCATAATGTAATCTACATCCACTATCTGTATTACTAGCCACAATTGATTTTTTTGGTAACACCTTTCTAAACGATTGGTTCATTTGAAAACACCTTTCTAATCAGATAAATCGTTTCTGTTAATCTCCATTTGTTTGCGTCTTACATTTTTTATTACAAATATTTTTGAAAAATATAAGCACGATCACACTTTTATATTTTCCTTTTAAAGTTAATTTATCCATGCAAAATATAAGCACGAACGCAAAACGATGATAAATTGCTACCTCCTGTTGCTTGCAGTAGCCTCAACGCATTTTTACTTTTTCTCTTAGACAATAGCCAGTTAGCCACCAACATATATAACCCTTGTCCCTTGTTAGTTACAGTGTAAATGTTTTTTGTCATCAAGCAGATTTGTATATTTTCTTTTGTGTTTAAAGTCGGGAAAATGACCTATTCCTACCCAAACAATTTCAATCGTGCTAAATACAACCCAAACAAATTGTAAGTGCTAAATACGATCTGAATTATGTTATAATTAAAAAACTACCTAAACTTTTTAAAACGTGGCTAAACCTATATTAATCGTAACAGAAGTTAGTCAACCGTTAAGATGATAAAACGACGTTGTTTTGATTTCATTATTTTTTTAAAAAATATGCACATACCGGGATTCGAACCCGTGCCTTGTCACTCTTTAAAATGGACACATCAACCACTAGACTAAAGAAACTTTTTGATATAATACTACACATTTGCAATTATATATGCTACTATACTTTTTCATCTTCTCTAATTAAAACTTTGGTTATTATTATTTTTGATTCTTATGAATATATTAACATGTTTTTTTAATTATATCATCTTTAATAAGTTTATATTATACTAAAATATAAATAATAAAATATTTATATCTATACAAAATTAAATGTATTTCATATTTTGTACCTATTTACAAAATGTCCATATATAAATTATTTTAAAAATTTCAAACTTGAATGGTAATTTCTTTTATTTTGGCAAAGTATATTCAACTTATATTTTTACCTGAGGAAATATACTTTTCCAAAATAAAAGAAATTACCATTCAAGTTTTAAAATTTTAAAATAATTTATATATGGAAATGTTGTAAATATGTACAAAATATGAAATATATTTAAATTTTTATAAATATAAATATTTTATTATTTATATTTTAGTATAATATAAACTTATTAAAGATATACTAATTAAAAACATTTTAATATATTTATAAGAATCAAAAATAATAATAACCAAAGTTTTAATTAGAAAGATGAAAAAGTATAGTAGCATATATAATTGCAAATTTGTAGTATTATATCAAAAAGTTTCTTTAGTGTAGTGGTTGATGTGTCCGTTGTAAAGAGTGACAAGGCAAAGGTTCGAGTTCTGGAATATGCATATTTTTTATCATTTTAACGGTTGACTAACTTCTGTTACGGTCAATGTAGGTTTAGGCATGTTTTAAAAAGATTAGGTAGTTTTTTTGAATTATAACGTAGTTCAGGTCGTATTTGGCACATACAATTTGTTCGAGTTGTATTTGGCACGATTGAAATTGTTTGGATAGAAATATGTCATTTTCCCGTTTAAAGTCTCCAGCCAATGTATTATTTGTGCTCTCAGTGGCCATGCGGGAGTGGGGACTAGGGGTGGGCACTTTATCCGATACCCGAACTCGTACCCGAACCCGACCCGAAATATCCGAACCGATATCCGAACCGAAGTAGCAAAATACCCGAACGGGTATTGAGTTAGGAGAGTTTGGATATCCGAACCCGAACGGGTAATACCCGAACCCGAACGGGTATCCGAAGATAACCGAACATATGTATATATACCTATTTATTCCTAGTTTATTTTGTCTCATTTTATTAAAACTATTTATATTAATGTTATATATAGTTTAATATCAGATAATATACATATAATTATAAAAAAAATTGATTTGTTACTCATTTAAAATGCATGTTAAGCTTCTTATTTCATACTTTAAACAAAATTTGCATCCAAAATTCGAAAATAATAACCAAAATAATGATTTTTATTTTCAATAATTTATTTTCAAACTTATTAATCGTCTAACTTATTAAACATTAAAAAAACAGTTAAGTTAATAGTTAAATTTTAAATACATGAAACTTAAGTAATTAAGAATTTAAAATTTTTCTTTCAAAATCTAAATATCCGAACCCGACCCGAAATAACCGAACCCGAACTAAAATATCCGAACCCGACCCGATATATAAAAATACCCGAACGGATTCTAAACCGCAATACCGAAATACCCGACCCGAACCCGAACGGGTACCTGAACGCCCATCCCTAGTGGGGACACATCCCGATGAAACATTAGTTTAGCCTCTAATCTTTTAGAGATTTTTTTATTAGATAAATGTCTCCAATTTTGGAGATAATCGTTTATTGTCTCCAAAATTTCAGATAGGATTCTATTCAGTGGTTTGTTCTTTATTAGCCTATCCACTTTTATTCTAAAACTTAGAAGTCAAGGTTAATCAATAGTATAGTCCAAAATGTTCAAGATTTCATTCAACAAATCAAGCAATATACAATACAATTCCATATATCTTACACACCACACTGAATCTTCTTTTGTTTATTGAAGATTTGCCCAAATAAAGATGCTGCTAAAACACAACCAATTCGCACATTAACAAATGAAACCAACACACATAATGTTGAAGGTGTTTCTGGGCCAATGGGTAGGAACGACTCAGAAGATGTTGAAAAAGATGGTCCAAACCGGGTAAACGAGGAGAGCAACGATACCAATCGTATTGGAGAGTCCATGCTTCTGAGTTAAAGCGTTTCTGAATCCATTAGAAGCTTTGATATGTTCATGGAAAAGGTAACATGCTATGATAAGACATATCACTGCCCCAATCCAAGTTTCTCTTACTGTCCCAGCTATGAGGCTAGGTGCAACCACCAGAAGAAGGATCAATGCTGCTGGAATCTCCAACCAATCTACATGTTTAATTTTATTGAAAATGGAATAAGAGTTAGGATACAATTCAAATTAATTTCCAATGATAAAAGTTTGTGTTATGATCATTGGACTACCTGGAAAGTTTTTAGGGCAGAACAGCCTTATTGTGATAGAAATGATAGCAATCCATTTCCCAAAATCTCCCCTGTGAACATCCATTGAATACCATTTTAGTTGTTATATCCTTACAACAACAACACAACATCATCATGTTTAATATCAATTATTCTTAGGGCTGGTTTTGGATATATAATGAAACATTCGTTTTGGCCCTTAAATATATAAGTATTAGGCTCTCAAACTGTTTTTTTTTTTAACTAAAATTTATCTTAAAGTTTTTATGGTCTTCTGAAGTCTTATGGTCAGTACTATTTGTTCTTTTATTACCTGAAGAAGTTAAAGATAACGTAAGGAAGCGTGAGAAAGATGTATGGCACCAAAAGGGTAGTCAACATCTTGGTTCTCCAGTTGGTCCGATCCAATATCAACAGATAGCTATCAAAACAAATGAAAACAAGCTCATTACAAGAGTGATTCAAAACAAAACCATAGAGGTTAACGGTTTGGTTTCTTTTTTTTTTGACTCACATGGCTGAGATTGAAGCTGCATATTGAAGGAAAGACGTGCCAAAGCTTAAACCACCTAGCATCGTTGCATCTTTCACGAGTTTCTTCGCAGCGTCAACAAACTCATTCAAATCGGAATTGATCAGGTTTGCCGCGGTTGCCTCCTCAGTTTTCATGGCCAAATAATCAACTCTTCCCATATTGAAGTTTTTTTGAAACTTTAAATGTGAACTCTCTCACAGAATACAGTTTGAGTTATAAGTTGTGACAAACGCAGAGTATTTATAATTGCTCTGTTTCTTTGAAAATTTCAGATAAGTAATTTTAAAAGTATATGCTTTTAGTTTTGGATATCTCTAGAGCTGCTCACCACGTTGGCTTCGCTGGTGACACTGACCCGCTGCTGGCTCCACCAAGGGTTTCATATACAGCTCATCTTCATATCTCCACATATATAGCAAATTTTCTACTAATCTTATTAAATTCTATATTTTAATTCTACAAGTAACCAGCACTTTCAATATACAATATCCTATTATCACTTCGGTTTATAAAATTAATACCCTAAGAAGATATCAACAGCTAAGCCACCACTGATTTGCATTCATCAGCAGATAATTATCAGACTAAGTGCTAATGAGATTTTGCTTTTGTAACTAAACAGAAAAATAACATAGGAAGAAAGAAAGGCTTTCAAGTCTCAACGATTAAAAAGCGTTTAAAGTACGGACCCAATTACAATATAAGAACTCGAGAATGTAGTCTTCAAGGATCCATAAGGGTACACTCAAACATTTTTCTCAGTTTCTTCTGCTAAAACTTAGTAATAGACATTTCTATACCTTTTTCACCTTCAAGAACTGCCATCTGCTTTGTTTGAAGGCTCAGGAGCTAGCTTCTTCGATGGACTTGACTCTGCAGAGGTTGCATTCAGTAAAACACGCTTCACTCCTCTTCCAACAACACCCAAATGAGTAACACCTGATGATGATGATGCTGTTCCACCTACTGTACGGGTGTGAGCAGTAGAGACCGTAGGCGACTCCAAGTCTTTTCCCATGTTTGCAGTTCCCATCCGAGAAGAGCTCATTTCACCAGCAACAGCAGGAACAACCTTGTCCCCAGCATTTGGCATAGCTGATGCCATGCCCATTAGCTCAGCAAGAAGTTGCTTTGGGTTCTCTGCCTGTTGTTTCAAGTCCTCGAGCTGCATGAAACAAGAGTTTGACATTAGTATGAGTTTTCAGAAGTTTTTTATTTTACAATGACTAAGTTCACTTGCCTTCTTTTCTAGTTCTTCTGCGAGACCAGATAAGACTCCAATCTCAGCTTCTTTGTCTGAAGCAGACTTCTCAGTGTCTGGAACATTGGATGATTGTTGGATTCCTTCTTCAACCTCAGAGACAGTTGAGGAAGTTGCTGAAACAGATGGACCCTTGATCTCATTTGTGAGCCGCTCCATCCTTTCTTTGCAGATTAACAGAGCCTTTTGACAATATGGTATCGCTTCTTTAGGCTGACATCCTGTCTCTAGACAGATGCATATGCGGAAGTTTCTGGAACGTTCAAGTTAAGTTAACACACTCCAACAACACAATGATCAGAAAAGAAAAACAAAATGTACTCTAATATATCAAAGGATACAGTTCGGCTATGCGTCGACTGTCTGGTTCAACCAGTCGCTCTAGGATGGACAGAGCATTCTTGTAGTCACTCAGGGAAGTCTCAATGTCCTCTGCGTTGTATTTAACACAACCAGACGTTCAGGAGAAAACTTAAATGAGAAAATGAGACATTGTGAAGGTGAAATAAGAAAGAAATTGACCTCTCTCCAGGGAAATTTCAGCAAGGGCACAGAGAATATCCACTTTCTCCATTGTTTCAGTAGATTGTTTGTCAGTGATAGCTCTTGCGATGTCCAGCATTTTCCAGGCCATATCCAAATCAGACTCATCTTCATCAGCATCAGCATCAGCATCAGCATCAGCATCAGCATCAGAGAGGTCATCGTCTTGAGCTTCTTCACCATCCTCTCCTTGTTCTTGACCACCAGAACCTACAAAAAAGAGAGAGAGAGAGAGAGAAGCAATGATCAGAAACATTCAACGATACAATCCTTTTGTACACCAATTTGAGAGATATAACAAGACACTGTATCCAAAAAAGTCTGCTTCAACATAACAAAACGAGTCCTTTGCTTCATCAAACAAACGGTATCTTATGCGACAACAAGAAACACTCATTGCATTTGATTCCAAAAACATAAGGGGAAAGGAGGTTCAACCATAGTCAAACAAATTCAAATCTATAGAGTTGAGAATTCCAAAAGTTTTAGACTTTTCAGTACCTTCTTGGCCACCACTTGAACTCCCCTGTCTCTCGGGGTCACTTGACACAACAACAGAAGCAGCCAGACCTTCACCATTTGCAGTATTCTTATCGCTAGACTCTTTCTGAGTCTCACTTTCTTTCTTAGGCATGTTACCAAGAGGATCAGCTTCAGCCTGAGCCTTCTCCAGCAGAGCTGATCCATATTTACAGTAAGCACTTACACACTCAACAGCAAGCTCACCATAGTGTTCAACCCTAAACACCATACCAAAAAAAAAACAACACAATCAAAAATTCAATTCAATTAACAAACATTTTAAACCTAAAACAATCGATTATGCAAAATGAGTACTTGATCTCAAGGGCACGGCTGAAACAGTCAATAGCTTCGGCGAAATCCATCTCTTTCGAGAACAGAGAGCCTTTCTCAGTGAGCTCATCAGCGAACTCGAGAGTCTTCTCACGCTCCTCTTCAGAGACGACATCAGTCACAGCGCTCTCCGCCGCGTTGTTGTTGTTGTTGTTGTTACAGGACGACTCGGTGCCGCCTTGAGCAGCGGATCCGACGGTGGCTTCGATCGAGGCTTGGTTAGGTTCTAGGGTTTGCGCGAGTTCCGTCACCGAAGCTTCAGATGCTGATGTTGCTGCTTCGTTAACCATAGCTCACGTTTGGGGATTAGATCTCTGAGTGAATTTGAAAATGGGAGAAGAGAGGAAAGTTCTCAATTTCTAACCCTAAACCCACTCTTCGTTTTTTTTTTGGCGGACTTGAGCAGAAAATATTGATTCAATGTTGTTATGAAGGTTTTGTAAAATGACCCCAGAAAAGAATGTGGATGATGATGAAGGTGAAGATGTGGCCCAACTTGAAGCCCATAGATAGTAGAGACCAAATTAATCACGTGATATTGTATACCGTTTAGGACATATAAACTGGATGGACCGAATCAATTCAAGATTATAATTTGATTGGTACAGTTTCTATTAAAACGAACCAAAATCTGGTTTTAACTAAAGTTATATAAATCCATATTCTATAAATAATCTACTTAACATGAAGTTTTTATCACATAAATTTTCTGAGTAGTAAATATTCGTAAATTATATATATTTTTTTAAACTATAACTTGAACTATCATGGGAGAATCTAAACTCATTTTCCAAAGAGAGATGCAAACTACAAATGGAACATATCTCGATATATTCAAATGAAACTCAAAACATAGCTACATATCCATGACCACACTAGTAGCTTAATATCGTGGGACTGTATCAAATCGAAGTCATTTAACTTCCGAAATCAGCTTACCAATAAACTACACCCTGTGATTGAAGTAAAACTGTAGTACTTTTAAACGCAATTTTATCATTATGCAGGTTACTAGTCAAAAGCCAGAATCATCAAATTTAGGACATTGGCTGAAAAGGAAATGTAATTTTTTTGGAATTTAAACAAAAAAAAAAGTATCAAATGATGTCGGAAGATACGATATTTACTCTGTGGGATATAAACCATAATGATAAGGCAAAAAAAAGTATCAAATGATGTCGGAAGATACTATATTTACTGTGTTCAAAAAAGAAAAGATAAGGCATAAGAAGGTGTTCCGTTCCACCAAACATGCACATCTCGTGGCTTCAAACTAGACTGATAATGATTCATACCGGTCAGTCAATTTTTCTAGATAATACATATCAATAATTCAATCAAAGATAATCTCGAATCGTTATCTTTGTCAATTTAAGACAGAGAAAATAAATTTATCTTCTAGTACGATTTTATGCAATAATATATTCTTTTACATTATTATTCTCAAATTAGGTAGATTGGAGAAAATGATGCATTGCAAAAGACAAAGGTTATGATTGTCTTCATCCTCTATTTTCCAAGGTAACTAGCAAACAGATTCAATGATTCACTTTCACATGACTGAGACTAATTATTAAACAAAATTTTTGATTTATCGGTTTACTCCTGTGAAGTATTATGATTTTTGATGCATCATCACACACACTAAGCATAAGTATTATATGACTGATCTTTCAAAGCTCAAGATCCAACGCTTGTCTCTTCTTATCTGACTCACTTCTCCAGCTACGTCCATCAGATTTCTCTTCCTCCTCTTCATCTTCTGAGCTATGCCCACCATTATTACAAAACAAACCTCTATCAACAAGCGGACTTTGTGGAGAATCTGACCTCGACAAACTTATTAAGCTCTGTGTTTCCTTATCTAACAAAACAGGCTGATCCGAGGTTGACAAAGGATGCTTACGGATATGCATTCTATATTTCTGCAATAGAAATATCATTTCACACACTTGTCAAAATCATTCAAAGTTTCAAGTTTAGTTAAATAAAAGAATGAGAATTTTTATTACTTGTAAATGGCTCTTGACTTCATCATTAGTTAAACCATCAACTTTCATCATATCTCTAATCTGCTTTGGTGTTGCCACTGGTCTCACAACAACAAACATAAGAACCAAAATCTCAGTATAACCAATCAATGGAGACTTTTAGATACAAAGTTGGTTACTTTTTTTTTGTTTATTTAAGGACTAACCTTGTGACCCTCCAATCTTCTGGAGAGCATCAACGAACTTACGGTGAAGATCCTGTGACCATCTCCTTCTCTGCTCTTTCTTCTGAATGTGATGATGACTCTGTAAAGGTTTGTTTAATTGATGCAACTGATCAGTTCTGCTAGAGCCCATCATTGGAGTCATGATAGACAGAGGAGCTGCTGGTGGAGGAGGGTGAAATGGCAGAAATGCCCCTCCCTGATTAAGATTATTACATGTCTGAAATGGAGTTTGTGTCACACACCGATCTTCTTCGTTTCTCTGTAATTAAAAAAAAAACAGAACATGATCAAAGGTTGATAAAATAAAAGAAAACATAAAAATGTTTAATTTTTATTTGTGAATTACCGAGTTAGAGTTGGAGATCCACAACTGAGCAGAGTTCATCCAGTTCTTCTTATTATTATCACTTTCCAGTTTTGCCCCTTGACCCACATCGAATTTACCGTTTGATGCCATCATCACTGATGAAGCCTTTTCCTTTAACTTCTCAATTGCTACACAGAGAAACCATTTCATAAAAATCGAATTTTATTCAATGAAAAACAAAACTGAGAATCTAAGAGAGAGAGAGTCACCTTCGTTCACTAAGAGCATGCATAAAGGGAGCTCTCGTCTAAAAACATCGATCTTTTTCCTTTCTTTTTCCAGTTTACCGACATAAGCATCGATTTCAGACAGTTTGGAATGATTGTCTTTGATGTTGGACACTTCATCGAGAAATAATGACAAGGGTTTTGCTATGGAGAGATTCAAATTAAGATTCATCCTTTGATCTGTATCTGTTTGCACCATCCAAAAAAATATAAAACAAAGAAGCTACGAGACGAACGTTTATATAGAAGAATGAAGAAGGTGAGATAAGGGAGAAGAAGGACGCGGAGAATTGTAACCGCTGTAAATAAGTGGAATCTCGAGGGTGTTTGTGTCAAAATGATTTAATTAGATTTTTTCTTCAAATGGAATGAAGAATCTTTTTGTGTGATGCTTGTACACACGCGGCAAATCGTTACACTAACTTGTACATTTATTCCCTTTTATTTTATTTTTTGTTGATTCTTTTCCTTTTGCTTTAGCCTTGTAAAAAAAGTACACAATATCTAATTTTGGGAAACTCATTACTATTTCTAGTGATTACCATTGAAGATTCTCATATTCCTCTATCTTGTAGTTATTGTTTTCTAGACTTGAAAAAGTGTGTGAAAGAATATATCGTACTATACTATTTTATGCATAACCAATGAGGTTGTACAACTCACATTGAATATATGTTTTACAAGAAACAATTGTAAATAGAGTATATTAATATATAATATCCTGTAAATTGATGATTGGCTTTGAAATTTGATTTTTAAAAGCAAAAGATGTCAGGAAATATACATAACTATGTGTATAATATTATAGAGACTGATTTGAACTTATTTCTATACCAGTGAATATATGTTGATAAAAAAAGTTAATATATATCTTTATTTGAAATAAGGAAAAACCAGTCATCAAATATTAGTTTAAATATAATTTTAAATTTTAAAAAGAAAAGGAAGTATTTTTGTATCATAATTTATATAAATTTATGCCTTTTCATAAAATCTGCATATCTTTAATTTCATAAATTTATATATATTAAAAACTTGTACCATGCTATATAACTTGTCTGCTTGGACGAAGCTTGGTAATGTACTATGGGGGATTATGCACTGGTAATCAGAAAAAATATGTTAGAATAAGTGGAAAAGTTGTGTTGTGAACCAATATCAAACCCGAATTTGTGACCTCCCTTGTACTGTTTTCATTTTATGACCAATAGTGCACCCAGTACATTAATATTTTGGATTCGCCCCTTCTCTGCTACACAACTTATACATCATGTACCATGCAAGTATGTTGACATCATGTTACGCATCATGAAACTTACTATGTCACTTACATTTTTTTATAATCAGCTATGGACGTGGTTTGCAAATAATAGAGATATAGTCAACTATATACCAAAATAAACAATGATAATATGAAGGATTTTACACAGAAAATTATGATTGAATATGAACTGAATTACTGAACATAAAAATTGTGTTTGTGATATATCAAATGTGGTGCTATACTCAAACCTCGTTTTAATGGAATAGAATCACTCGTTTGTGGTGTTGATAAGTGTCGATTCTTTATTTAAAGATCAGTGGAGAGAAAACCAAAAACAAAAGGTTAAAAAGCGTAGTGGTCAAAATTCGGCTGAGTCTCGTTTACCATAGAATCCATAATCCATTTACATTCACATTAAGATATAGTTCAAGGAAATCACGTAACCATTAATTTATACTATAAACTTTAGAGTGCTTTTCATGTGTTTGGTTGCTTGTCTTTAGCGTTTTGTTTGAGTCTAAAATTTCTTTAGCGTATTGTATTATAAGCTAGTAGGCATTTCAATATGGACTCTTTATTAAAAAAATTATTACGGAACAGTTTCACGTAGCATTTTAAAATCTCTGACATCCTATGACCACGGAATCTAATGGACGGACATAAAGAAACCACAACACACATGTCCAATTAATCTAGATTTTTCACGAGAATAGTTTTTCTTTGAAGGAGGAACTGAAACGTCTCAAGTTGTAATAAGGACGTTGAGAGATTGATACCATTGATTGATTATATTATCTTTCGTGTATTCTCTTCATCATGTATCCTTAACCTTTTGTTTTTGTTGTTCTCACCACTCCTTTTATAAATAAAAAATCTTGCAAAGTTCTTACAAACGATATATTGCTTTTGCTCTGTCTATCTAATCTGAGGATGAGATTCGTCGGTTTCTAGCTGCGAGAATCCAATGATTCGACCTATAATCTTCGTTTTAGTTTTCAAATTTCGAAAAATCAAATTTATAACATTTGTCAGTCTGAATATATACAAGGAGTAATCTGATGATGGTATACGTCCCTTACGCTTTAGCTATGTAAATTTAATTTAAATCCAAATACACCCAAGAAAAGTCATTTTTGATCTTGGACTGAATCCATGCGAATCTATGACGTATGGAAATTAACTAGTTACTAGGTAATAATTTACGTTAGGTCTCGACTTCTTCGCTATGATCTTCCCAGTAGTTCATATAGGAGCTATAGCCGTTTCATTCCTTTTCGTTGTTATGATGTTCCATATTCAAATAGCAGAAATTATTACTTTTAAAATAAAATGATATTATGTCTGTTTAGCATAAATATTAGTTCAATTTTAAGTTGTTTTTTAATCACCTAAAATATAACTATCATTCTAAATCTATAATTATTTTGGTTTTAATGTTTGTATTTTTGATTTTTTCGATGATAACCAAAAACTATTCTTATTTGTTTGGTTTCGTTTTATATAAATTTTAGACATTTTTATGTCGAACTAATAGTTTCCTAAAGACATGTAAAATCAAATAAAATATAAATAATATTTGAAAAAAAATTATTAACATAATACATTTCACTACAATTTGAGTGATAGTGAAAGAAAACATTAAAAAATTCAACTTCAATAATAATTAAAATTCTCACTTGTGGTGAATATTTAGTTATATAGTCGCTCATGTCAATGTGTACATGTATGTATGTATAAAAATATATAAATGTGATGATAAATATATGTATATAACATTAATTAAGATTTAAAACATTTTTGTTCAAAATAACACATGATAGTAAATCCTTAAATAAAATTAAGTAAAAATAAAACAAACCTATAAATTAATAATTTTTTTTCATATGAAGAATTTCAAATTGTACCAGTAACAAATAAAAATAATATATTATAAAGTGACATCTTCACTTGGTACCTAAATTCTGTTTTTAATCGATTTTGTGATTTTTATTTCTTTTTAAAGCTTTTCTGATTTCTGATTTTTTTCTACCAATTTAATTTTATTTCTAATTCTTGGTCTGATATAAAAACTTTATAAATATATTAATAAATGACTAAACTAAAGATCCGACTTTACATGTGGTGTTTTTTCACCTCAGCTTCTTTAATTCATAATCAATCACCTTATTTGTTGTTATTGTGTACCGAAACCTCAACTAATTAAGACCAACTTCGACAAGATACTAAACTTTCAATTTCTACAAACGTTTTCATCGCAAAAATTTTAGTTGATGCAAATCTTAATAATTTTGTAATTTTTTACAAGAAAAATATTATTTTGTAGTTTCACATAGAAAATTTTAATTTATTAATACAAAAACTAAAAATATAGGAAAATGAATTAATTAAAAAACAGTGTATGAACACATTAAATAATGAATTCCAAAAATTAGTGTGTGACCGCTTTTATTACCAAATGATTGTGAAGTCGACACGTGCCAGTTATAGTGTGAACACATTTATTACAATGCTTCTCTTTTAATATATAAGAGATTTTTGCCACATCTAATTGTGATTAGCCGTACGTCAGAAAATTGAAAATCATATATAATCCTACAAACCATATAATGAAATCTACTGACTAGTGATCCCCATCAACTGGTTAAAATTGTAAATTAATAAACTAGTATCCATCCATTGCATTTTAGTTGTCGTTTTAGGATTTTACACACAGATTAAGAAAACATTTATTTTTACATATTTTTAAGATAAAAACATAATTACTTATATATTTAATCACTTTTCAACCAATATAAAAATATAATTAATAGCATATAAAATTAATAAATTTTGTATTAAAATTATAAAACGACATTTATTTTCAAACAAAAATTTTACTTTACAACGATTTGTAAATTGAAACAGAAGGAGTAAAATTGAAGAAATTACAATTTTTTTTTGATATTTTATGAACTAAATTAATAGTAAGACAAAAAATGATTTTATATATATGTTTTAGTGTCATAATACTATCCAAGGATATTGTTGGTAGTTGGTAAACAATCGATACATGCACTTTCGAAGATTCTTTCATTCTCTAGTACTAAAGAGCTGAACGTTTTGGATAGTCGTAGTTTTATCATGTAAAGATGAATAACCAATATTAGATGTTTTCTTCTGAAATACAAGGAACAAAGAGAAAGCGTGATTCCATTTTTATATAACAAAAAAAAGAGAAGATGATCTCATGGGTAAAATTATAATAACAAGTTTTATTAAGTAATCAACAAATCCGTTGTCGTCCAGCGGTTAGGATACCTGGCTTATGTTGCCGGCACGAGATATTTAGTTGACAAGTGTGCAAGTATATAATGATTCTTTTTTTTTTAGTCTTCGAGAAGATGAATCATTAGAATGCGAGAGAGTTAGGTGATATTCACAGATTGATATTCAGAGAAACATGCCGTCCCCTTAATGAAGAGAATAACACTGTCTACATGATACTACTATATGAATAAGATGTTACACTATTCACTTCTGTTCCCAGCTCCTCAACCCATTTTTATCTTGAGCTGAATCCATGCAAATCTTTTGACGTATGAAAGTTTAGTTATTTTGCCATATCTAAATCAGTGATTAGCCGTCAGGAAAGTGAAAATCATAATCCTACAAACCATATAATGAATTCTTTAAGTACTAATCAGTGATCACCATCAACCGGTTAAACATTGTAAATTAATAAACTCGTAGAATCGAAGAAGTTACATATGTTAGGCTATTTTATGAAATGAATCAATAATAACCGATACATGCACTTTCGAAGATTCTTTCATTCTCTATACAACTAAAAAGCTGAACGTTTTGGATGGTCTTAGTTTTATCATGAAAAGATGAATAACCAAAAAAACCGGCTTTCACAAAAAAATGAATAATCAATATATATGTTGTCTTCTTGTGAAGTACAAGGAACAAATAGATAGAGTGATTCATTTTATAGTAAAAACATAGTATATTAGTTTATTTATATATGTTTCATTATGACAACAACAAATCCGATGTCGTCCAGCGGTTAGGATATCTGGCTTTCACCCAGGAGACCCGGGTTCGATTCCCGGCATCGGAGCTCTTTTTGGTTTTGTTCTAAGAACTTGTGGAACGTTCATGGGGTTTTAGATGGTTTTCTTCTGCCGGTTATATTTCAGGCACGAGATATTTACTTGATAAGTGTACAATTATAAGCCTTTGATTCTGTTTTTTTAGAGTCTTCCTGAAGATGAATCATTAGAATACGAGAGAGTTAGTAATATTCACGGATTTATTTATATTCAAAAGAGAAACATGTTGTCCACTTCATGAAGAGAATAACACTGTCTAGATGATACTATATGAATAAGATGTTACACTATTCACTTTTGTTCCCTGTGACTATACTTTTGAGAACATACAATCATCAATTCAATGAAGTGATCTGTTTCCAACTTTCACTAAACCAGCAAGGGAAAACGATGAACTCACTCAAGGCTTGTAAATGACGCGTGGTAAAGGCTGAGAGATGAAACTTGAAAGGAATCAAAGTGTCTAACGTCGTGAAGTTCGGGATTTGAACCTTGAAGGTCTCTGTAATGAAAGATGCAAAGAAGTTCAGTTTCAGACAAGTGTCCACTGACGTCAGGTGATTCAATGATAAAAGAGAGTTCGAAACCGAGAAAATGAAAATGAACTTACTGTCATAGAATTGAAGTTGGCTCCTGAACCATGTGTAGGACCTAAAGAGAAACAGGTAACACAACTTGAGATTACCACAAAAACTGTATTGTATAATGACTTTGTACCTGTAAACTGTGAAGGCGTAGCAGGATTTGATGGAGTTGACTGGCCAAACAAATATGGAGCAGAACCAAATCCAGAAGCAGGTGTAGCAAAGAGAGAAGACGAAGGTGCTGAAGCAGGTGTGTCAGGAAACAAGACAGTTCCTAATGTTGAAAAGGCTGCAGGTGTTTGTGGAGCATTTGAAACCCATGGAGTTGCTGAGTTAGTAATCAATCCAGCAACTTGTGTTGAGGTTTGTGTACTTGTAGTAGACACAGGTAGATGCAGAGTTGGGTGGACCCTCTTAGCAGCAGCTTCTTGTTTTGCTGTTTCTCTCCGATCAGCTTCAAGAAACGGATCATTACACTCTCCTCTCCGTCGTTGGTCAGCAAGATACGCTGTTCTCATTGATTCAATATACTGGTGAACATTCTCTACCTAAAACACAACAAAATTCAAACTGATCACAAGGTGGTTTCTACATTTGAAGGTTCATTGATAACATGTTACCTTAGCAGCCAAATGAACAAAGAAGTCATGCACGTTAGACATGACTTTTGGAAGAGATTCCAAAACTAAAACATGCCGATTATACTTGTCAGCATCCAAAGCAAGCAACTGCTCCAGCTCCTCAACCCATTGTCGACACTCTGCTAGATACTTCTCAAATCTCACAACTATTTGAAGCAAAAAAGCTGTAGGTTTCTTGGGAATCCCACGGTAAAAGTAAGAAACTTGAATTGCTTGTTGCTGAACAGAGGAAGCTGGAGCTGAGTTCACTCCCTGAGAACCACCACCAACACCAACATCTCCTCCTCCTCCTCCTCCACCTGGTTTAGAACTACGGAATCTTGGCTGTAACATCATGAAAGACCTAACAGCAGTCTCTGAATCACGCAGCATATCTTTAACAACCAGCATAAGCTGGTGGAGAACAGCCTTTTGTCTGTCCATTGTAGTATTAATCCCACCAAGCTCCTACAAGTTTTACACAAGGCTGAAGATAACACACAAGAAAAGTTCCTATATATGGAAAGAAGTGAATCAATCATCTAAAGAAACCTGAACAATGCGGCTTGCATCAAACTCAAAACCTCCAGTGGATATATAAGAATCATAAAGACGGTTGCATTGATCTAACCTCTGGCTTTCACTTTTGTACTCTAATATCTTCTTTCTAAGGATATTCCACACAAGCAATAAAGAATCAAGTTATCAGCAACAGCTATGTTCTTCAAGATTTTGGGAATTGAACAAAAGAACAGTTGAAAGAAGAGAGCAATACTCAATCTCAAGAAGAAGTTTCTGAGAATCGGGATGAAGATCACTCCATTTGGTGCTGTAACTCGCCGGAGCTTGATCGTTCGTGAACAGATACAACTGTTGTTGCAGGAACTGTTGCGGCTGAAACGACGGCGTTTTTTGTTGTTGTTGCGTTTGCGAGAAGAAAGAGATGCTCTGCGGCTGAGGCGTCTGTTGCGGAGTTTGAAACGGTGACTGAGGCGGCGTGTGATGTTGCTGTGGGGTAGAGAATGGATTTAACGACATTATTGCTGGATGAAACGACGGAGAACCGAATCTAGGGTTTGTATATTGCCGGCGAGGATTTTTGGAGTCGAGAGAAAGATTCAAAAGCCTTCTTTAAACATCTCGAGTAAGTGGAGGGAAAAGATAAAAAAAATAAGAAGTATTTAGTGGATTTATTTTATATTTGTAACAAACTCAAGGGCTCTTTTGCAAATAAGGCACTAAGAATTTCTAATAGAAAATGAAGCTGATTAAAAACTGTAACAAAACTGTAAATGGCATTGAAGAAGCACACAAGGATTTTGAATATTGACTAAGTTTTATTTTCTCTGTTGGATGAAGTAGCACCGGTGACAAGTCGGAGAGAGCTTGGCTTGAGTTGTTGAGGATTGAGGAGGATCTAGGGACTTGTGCATTACGTTTCTTCAAGAAATCTAACCCTGTTTTCTTGTATATAACCGTCCCAATACTGCACACACAAAGAGAGATAGAGTCAATCAGATCATATCAAAGTGCGTAATCTTTAGAGTGTGTAAGTAACAAAAAATTGATCATTACCCTGAGCTCTTTTGCTTCTCCTCTCTAGGGTGTTCTTCGTTGGCCTCCTCCTCTTCTTCAGAATCAGAATCATTTTTCTGTCTGTAAACGGTACAAATTACCAATCTTTAAGACATTGGTTATCTAGTTGAAAGTGTTTATATGTATAACGAGAAAGAGATATCAAAGTTTACCTTACTTTTTCCGGTCTGCAAGAAAGTCTATGATGTTTTTGGAAAGGAACCCCTTGTTTGCAAGAGCTTCAGGGTCTTCCTCATGCTTCTTCTTCCTCTACATCTTCAACAGTTTCAAGCCTCCGTGATTTCCTTGGCGTTATCTTCTCTGCCAAAATGCTTACGACTCTCTTTCTTCTCGCGGGCAACTCTAACGAAGAGAAAGCAGCAACCTCATTTAAGGAATCTAAAGAGCTTATGATCCAAAATATACGGCTTTGTAGAGTAAAGGTAATGTTGGAATGAAAGCATATAAAGCTAAACACCCTTGCATAGGTTTTGCTAAGATCAAAGAACTAATCATCAAAAGCAAGAACACTTATTTCTTCCTCCATAAAAATCCTAATCCATAAGCTTCATAAGAGCTTGTTTTGATAGTCTACAAAGACAGTCTCAAAGCAGAGAAAGATGGTGAGAATAAACCTAGCCTTGCTCTCTCTCTGTATCTTCCTCAAGGCTGCATCTTCCAGCTTCGCCTGAAACATGTAACGAAACCTAATTAGAGGTTAAGCAAATTCGATTTCCTGTTTTTCAGCTTAATCCAACTAAGACCTGCTCCTGTGTGAATTCCTCGGGTGGACAGTCAGAGTCGGAATCGGAGCTCTGGTCTTTTTTATCCGACATTTTATTATTATCTCTTTTTCTTCACCGGAGATTTCTAGGGGTTTCTTCTCCGTTAGACGACACGCACTAGGGTTTAACGGCTCTGCAGTTTCCCAAAAAAATTCAGACGATTTCCCTCTTCTCTATGGTGGATTTCTTTTGGGCTCTTGTTACAGTCTATTTAGCAAGGTGATATACTGTTGTCTGTTATCTGTATAACAAAAGCTGGAATAGCTCAGTTGGTTAGAGCGTGTGGCTGTTAACCACAAGGTCGGAGGTTCGACCCCTCCTTCTAGCGTTCTTTTTGTTACTACTACTATCCTTTTCTTTCGGGTTTCACATCTGGTAGGATCCTCACTGAGACACATTAATCTACTATGAATCAACAGAGATTTCTTGTTACTTACATGGACATCATACTTGCATGTCAAACTTTGGTATGTTACTCTTTTCTTGTATGTTAAATCTTAACTATTTTGGCATGGTACTCTCTTTTTTGGCCAAACTTTGGTGTGGTACTCTAAGTTTTTTTTTTCTTGATACTTCACATGAAAGATGTTGAAATGAAAAAAAAAAAAAAATTTACATACTGTCAAGCTGACCCAAAAAAAAACATGGTATGAGACAAGAATGCCGACAACAAATGTGCCAAGAGACAAGAAAAAACAAATGAGACAAAAAAATCTACTCTAACATGTAAAAACAAATAAATGGTGTCCACATATAATAAGATTGTAGATAAAACAAATGAGACAAAATCTAGTCTAAAAACAAATAAATGGTGTACACATATATAACCTTGTAGATTAAATCAATTGAATAAATTATTATCTCTTCATAGTTTATTATAAAAAACACAACACATAACTATATATACTCTCACCCAACCAATAACAAATTTTAACTTATGATCTTTACACTCTCCAACCCAAATCTATACAATGTTCCACATTTTGTTGAAACATTATTTCATCACAACCCTCTTTATTGGTGCAATAGCAACCTGAAACTGAAGTCATATGATACTACTTGAACCAACTCCATGACTGATTCTTTGTTCTTTCTTTCCACACACTTGAGAGCTTCTTCTCTGAGTTTATCAGGCAACTGAAGGCAAACCCAATCTAGTAGCGATTCCACATCCTTTGCAAAATCTAGCAAATACCAATCTAATACCTTTGGAATCATTAGTTTGTTCTTCTTTGAGATCCCAACAGATGCTTGAAGATAATCTCTCTTTGCAGCTTCTAGCTCTTCCTCTACATTAGCTGTTGTATATACCCTTACCTAAATAACAAAAATAAGTTGAGGTGTGAAAGTACTAGAAACTTTTCCAAATTTGAGTGTGTATGATATTTAAGCACAACTTACAGCAGGAGAGGACCAGCTTCCACATGAGAGAGCAAAAGTGACCAAAGGCTCTGACCATTCCAGTCCAAATGTGCTATGAGCTTTCATCTCTTCATGTGTTGCTGTTTTGGGACAAGTCTTCTTTCCATATAAAAAGACAAATAATATTAAACTTTGATTCAGTATACACAAATCAAAGAGAAGAATTTGAAAAGAAACTTACAAACTTCAAGTGATATGGAAGTCTCAAGATGAAGTGTTCTATTGTGAGAGCATTAAGTGAGTGTCCTCCTACAACCATTGTTGCCTGACACAACAAAGAGAAGATGAATATAATAAACCAGCAAACACATTGAAGCATAATGGTTTCAAAATTTTGGTTTTAGAGTAAGACCTTTTGCATCAGGGCTACAACCATTTCAGGGGTCTCAGGGATTCCATGCTCTAAGAAAGCCTATGAAAAAAACAAGACATAGTCAGACATCTTACAGGCATGTCTCTCCTATATCATACAAAGAAGTCTCACATTCATCACACAGGAGTTATAAATATTTATCCAGAATGCAAGTTTCTGCTGGTGGCTAAGACCATCTAGATTTACAGTGGCAAGCTTATTAAGCAGGACCCTGTAAATAGGAACAGTCACACAGACATGAGTTTAGAGTATTAAAACATTCTGAAAAAGGATTTTCATCATTTATTTAGATAGAGATATTTACTTGAGACGATGGATCAGAAATAAAGCATTGATTCTTCTCCCAAGATCAATGGAAGATGCATCAACAGAGCAAAGATTCTTGTATGCACCAAGCTCTCTTGTTCTCCATTCTGAACAGTTTCTATATGGATCCAACACAATGTCCTTTGACGAGCTAATCCTCAAGAATATACTCACCAAACATTTCAGTAAGTCCTCTGAAACTCTGTTTGCTGCAGTTCCACTTTGCACTGATTCCGAGACACTCTCATGTGCCTTGTCTTGCTCTGCCAATCTATCATCTACCTTAATTAAAGGTTTCTTAAGTCTCTTCTCAGATGATTCTTTGTCCTTCTTGTCTTTTAAACCGTTACTAGAGGTATGATTCTCTTTCCCTCTCACATCTACTGGCTTAGTAACACTGCTTAGATTTGGTCTAGGCGATCCTTGTTTGCTACTAACTGTCTGATCAGAGGAGAAGAGTTTCCTACTTGAGATGCTTCTGCTTACACTAAGAGACTGTTGATGCTTTTTAGGAGGAGTGATCATAGAACTGAACTCGTATTGCGACATGGACTTTGATCTAACATGAGAATTCTCGTTGTTATTAGGACTCTCCAAGTTCCTCTTGGAAGAAATGTGAACAGCTTCTTGGTATAGACCTTGTCTGAAGCTTACAACTTGCTCTTCTAACCGAACCACTTCCTCTTCAAGAACAGCTACTTCAGCAAGAAGCTCCAATGTCTTTATCAGATAAAGAAACAAAGATCAAACACAACGAACAACAAGTTTTTGACGATACTGAATTTGATTATTCCAGCATTTGGATCTTACATGTCTAGGGAGGAAAGAGGGAAGACGAGGTAAAGCTCCTAAAGGTCTAGTGAAAGCTCTCTCCAATGCTCTATGCACATTCTCCTCTTGTCTTAGCTTCCTCTTTAGTTTATCAACCTAATCAATAACAAACATTTTTTTTAGACTCAATTGTACACCAAACCATTAAAGTGATTTGTCAAGAACTTCTCATCATCATCATACATCTTGTAGCAAATCCATTTTCTTTTCTCTGTTAGCTCTGAGGCTATTAACAAGAGACGACTTCCCTGAGTTAGCTAGATCACCTTTGACTTGAGACTCCATCTTCTTCTTTTTCTTCTTATTCTCCTGCTTTGTGGATTTCAGAATACCACCAAACATTACTCATACAGAACATAAAAGGAGGTTGTAAAGAAACTATCGATAGTGGAAAACAACACACAATTTTCTAGATTACAATTGAGTATCAATCACTTTCATGACCAGTAACTTCACTAAGAATCACTATTTTATTACAAGGAAAACAAAAAAAATAAGCAAAGATTTGGTTGTGTAATAAGTCCAATGTTTGAAGCCAAAAATCTTAAAGAGATCATCAAGAAAGCAATCAAAGTTGGGGTTCACAAGAGAGGAAAGTAGTAGAGAAAGAAGAAAGAAGAAAAGTTACTTGATTGGTGTAATGCTTTGAAGGAGCTTTCATGGAGGAAAGAGCAGCTCGAACACTAGTGTTCATAGCTTCTCTATCTCTCTTTTGCTTTCTCTCCACTCTGACTGTGATATAAACCCAAGAGAGAGAGAGAGAGACCACATCAAGATAAAACAAAACAAAACATAGAGACAGAAGTAAAAAGAAAGATAAGAGTTAAATGTCTAAGTATGTGGCTGTAATAAAAATAAAATGTAGTACTAACTCTTTGATATACAAACACAGAGCGGGAAAACTTGAAGGTAAAGCGACCCAGAAGCAGAGAAATGGTCTAGTTGAAGCTTACGTTTCCCACAGAACCACCATTTTTTATATTATTTAATCCGTATAATGTATAGTTGTTGTATGTATAGATAGATTACTTTGGTCATATAGTCTCGAACAGAGCAAGGAAGAAAGTCAAGAAACTACAGAATCACTCATTGGAGGTGAAGTAGTAGATAACGACTTGATATCAAACCATTTATGATGTCTTTAGATTTAGAAATTGAGAAATGAAAAAGTATAGTTTCTAGGAGGTGAATGAAGATGTAAGATCTGAGTTAGTGACGAGTTCTTGAGCTAGCTGGTTGGAAATTGTGAGAGATGTGGACAACCATAAAGAAACGACTTCTTTTGTCACTTATTAATTAAAATTTGGTATTTAGTGGCTTGGTGCTTTCGTTTTCTCTCAATCTTTTCAGTTGTTTCATTAATTTCATTTCAGTAGATTTTTCTTTTGTTTCAAATGAAAAATATAATGGTCCCTAATAGAATTAATTTTTTATTTATAGTTTTATCAGTACTGACATTATTAATTAAAAACCTATTTTTGAATTTTGTTTTACAGTTCTAAATCTGAAATGCATCATTTTAAAGTCAATTTCATTTGCTGATTAGTTTAATTGGAGCTTATAAATAACCAACTGATTATAGACTATATTAGTAATTGGTTTGTAATAAGTTATGCAGGCTGCCTGTACTTAAATACAAGTGTGTTTTCAGAGTTAAATTATGATACCTTTTAGAGAAAGCAAAGTTAACGTGCTTATTAATTATGATGTTAGAAGAAAATAAATAAAAAGGTAAAAACTCTAAAGGTGCTGACATCTCCCTAGTAAACCTTTTTAACATTTGATTATTTTTCTTGATAAAACATTTGATTTTTCATTTCTCCCTTTTCAAAACGGTTGATTCGCATCAAAAATAAGAGTGGTAGTATTATTATACCATCAATAATTTGATTATTTCAATCAACTAACAAGGGTGTTATGTAATAGTATTAATTAGTGACAAGAAAATAAACAGTGGATTAGGTATAAATTATGAACGTACTTAAATGATATTTTGGCATATTCAATCAAGCATTAGCACGTGCAAATCTAACTTCACTTTATAACTCATACTTCCACTTTCAAGTGGACCAAGCATTCTCTATGTTACATATAGTACATAATTCAATTTCCTTCCATGTTATCACATTCTAGTGACACATTTCTATGTTTTCATATCAAAAGAAATGGGTGTCTATGTTTTACAATTATCTGCTTGTCCATCTTATCTCGTAAATTCCTTTGTAACAATATGCCATTGTCAGCTGTTATTAACCAAAGATCAATAGAAGCATCAAGCATGGCTCTAAAAGAATGAATACTATTTTTAATGGGTTTAGTTAAGTAGATTAGCATGTACACTACAAAAGGTCGACGTCATTTATTTCCCAATATGTATATCACACCTTTTACATATATTACTATGACCATTTCCATTTAAATCGAATGTTTGAAATGTAGCTAGCAGACTCATCCGAGATAAGAACAATGACAACTCATTTACAAATTAGAATCATTACCACTACAATCATTCTTGTATGATCATAACATGCTATTTATAGACCTAATAAATATATTAGATAACACATAATTGTTTGCCTCTGGCCTCTTCTCATCACATGCCATTAATGGATCTATGTGGTACTGATAGTAACGTATAACCATGACTTCTCATAAAAGGATCCTAACACAAACAAAAAATTTCTCTTGTAAATTTGTAATTTCATATAAGGTAACATTTTGGATCTATATAGCTCCTTTTTCCTTTCTCTGTATTGTTACCACAATTATACACATCAAGTTAGCTCATATTCATTGCTCGGTCCCCAATTTTTCAATGATTAGTCAATTTTTTCTTCATTTTGATAACCATTGTGGTCCAATAAGACAAGTGAATAGTGTCCATCTAGGGCTAGCGTACGTGGTATATCGCATGTTCACTATCACTTATGAGCGCATGCAAGTGAAAAAGTACATGTCAAAACCTTACGCCAAATATACACACTTGTTTATATTTTATTTTATTTTTTCAATGATTCAATGCATATTGATATATACAAAACAAATAGCCTTTTTATTGATCACATATTTTGTCAAAAACTGTTTGTTTTATATCATTAGGATTTAGGCAGCCCAAAGAATGTTTTTGATAAAACACTAAGGTTACAACTAGAATACAACATCCATGGTAAGTAGCTTCATTAAAAATATACATGCTAACCAATACTTAATTGGTTATTTATACCAATGTTCTAAAATCAGTATAGTCAGCCGCAGGGCTGTGCCTGAATATAAGCTGATCAAGCATGTGTTTGGGGCCCAATAAATTTAAAAATCATTTGGGGGCAATTTCTCAAATGATTAAGTAGCCAAGTTGGTCTAAGCTGTTGTTAAATAGCTTAACTCCTAACACCCAGGGTTCAAAGCTCATCCCGCTGATTTTTTTAGTTTTTTTTTGCTTAATACTTTATTAATATACAAAAATAAAGAAAAACTAACTTTACTAAAACTAACTTTACTTATAGAAGAAGGAAAAACAAATTAAAAGGAAACTAGTTAATGATCGGCATTAACTATATAAATGCCTATAAGGAAAAAAATCAGTTATCAAAACCTAATCTATCGTTTTCTAATAATTTTTCGTAGCTCTCTCAATAAAAAATCAGTTATCAAAATGTAACCTATCTTTTTTTAATTATTTTCTTAGCTCTCTCATATAGTCATATCTGCGATCGAGTATGTTCCAAGAAAAATTGAATAAATTATCGATATTATCAATTGAAAGAACTAAGATTAAATAGTTTGAATATACGTACTTGATAGATGAGTTTGCAAGTAAAACTGCAAGAAGAATTATATTTCAAAAATAATGTATTCATATATAAAATGTTTGTTTTTGACATTGTTTAACATTATTGTTTGAAGTTAGAGTTAATTTGCGAAAGTACCCTAGTTCTCACCTTCAATTAGTGAACTAACCCTGATATGACAGTTTCTTTAAGTCGGACCATTTTACCCTTCCGTGTTTCGATATACTACTCTCTTAGGCTCACGCGCCTACGGGTAGCTGTGTCAGAGCGCCTCCCACGCTTGTTTTATTTCCCGTCAACCTTTTTGTTTTCCAG